CGATTTCAATTGCGCTCTTTACACCTCGCAAGGATCGAGCGCGTTTTTATCGCGCGGCGCAACGAATCCGTTTGCGTTGCTGCGTGAGGAACAATTGCACTCGAATTGATGGAGACGTTCGAGACAAAAGTTCCACGTCTCTCGAGATGCGAATTCGAGTGAGATTTCATCGCAAGAAATTTAGAGAGCAACGAATTGTACTCGCATCGCGGCCTGCGCTTCAGAGAGTTTCTCCCGGAATGCCGAATGACTGTAATAATATATTATTCTTGCGCTTTAACAATGACAACGTGCAAGCGTCAAGCGTCGTCTACGATGACAGTAAGCAGTAAGCAGTAAGAAATAAAGCAATCACAGGCGATTGTGACAGAAATAATCGACTGTGGTTGGTCCATTTTTTACTGTTCACGCTTACTTCTTAGGGCGGGATTACGATGAACTTTACGTAACGGGACGCGACGGGACGTGAAGTGACGTTACGTGAATTTGACGTTTGAGGTTATATTAGTGTGAGAGATATTTTTCGAAGAAGAATTCAGTTTGGCGACGGGCATAACCTGGTGGAAGAACTCCGTTTTTGAAAGTGTCACACGAACTGTCCGACTTGACGGAATGCAACATCTAAACTTGACATTGGCAAGCTTTACGTCGCGTTAACTTCCGACATTTCACGTTACGTAAAGTCGATCGTAACTAGCCGCATATAAAACAATGTGTTTTAGGTTTTGTGTCACTTCACGTCCCGTCGCGTCCCGTTACGTTAAGTCCATCGTAATTCACTGCTTACTGCCACTGTAGACGACGCTTCAAGTCACGCGCAAGGAGCGCGCAGTTCGCGTGCGCGCTCCGGCCGTATGTTTAACGCGTCTTGCGCGAGATTGAATTCCACCGAGATATCGGGAGGTTTGATTTGTTCGATCGCCCGTCGCGAGCGTGTACACAGCGGCAGGAGTTTGAAAACCGATTAGCAGTGTATTTCGAAGCATCAAAACCGTCGGATACCGAGTCGAGTACCAACGTGCGCGCCAACGTGAAACTCCGAACAGGCTTCGAACTTGCTGGTCGCTCCACCGCGACATTTATTACCTTTACCAACGGGGAAACTGCCGCGAGTTTCCGCCGCGGCGGCGGATTATACGGGGAATTAGGCGAGCCGGGATTAGCGTTACCCAATTTTCGCGTACTTCCCGCTACTCTAATATCCCGGCCGAAAAATAGAGCGCGCGCGACGCTCCGGAAGAAGTGGGCTTTTTCCCACGCGGGAGCAAGGAGCAAGCGTGTTGCGTGCGCGAGTTGATTTTGATCTAATTGCTCCTTAAATTCCTCGGATTGGAATCACACTCGACACGAACGAAAAGCGGCAGTATTTGCGCTCGAGGCGCTGGGTGCAATCAGACACTGCCGCTCGAAATTGCGGCGGAGTATGAACGTTTCGCTCGAGTTTCGAGCGAACGCTAACACCGCATGAGCGAATGCCTCAGTCGATCGAGGCGGACATGTCGTTTCCCGTACGGACAGTGGAGTACATTCGAGTCACCTCATCGATTTCGGCTGGAAATATCCTCGAGAGTGAATTGCGCAGAAATTGAGCAGAAATTCTCGTCTCCGAATTGACGCTTTTCTGGCTAAGACTTCTCTCGTCAACATCCCGTCGGCGTCGTCGTGCCTTCGGAGGTAAGGACGTGGGGAGGCATCCCCGAAGCAGTTCGTGTTTCCGGCAGCGCGAGACGACGCGGACGCGCCGGGAAATCGGAGAAGCTGTCAACGGAGCGCCATGCATCTGCCACTTATCCGCGCCGCCGTCCTCGACCGCGTCTACCCGGGCTCTACCTTTTTTCCCCACAATGACGCTCCATTTCGTCACAATTATGTCGCCATTATTCGGCGCGAGGAGAGCGCGTTTTAACGCGCGGCACGAAGCGAGTCGCGCTCACAATGCCCCGGTTGTATCTGTACATCATCTGTACGCATCCCCGCGTGCACGCACCCATTATATAAGCACCCACATACATACACGCGCAAACACAGACACGCACACATACAGACGTGACCCGGAGGTCATCGCGGCGACCGCTCGAGAAATCGACCGTAGATTCTTCCCTCGATCGCGCGTTTTATTGTGTTTTGACAGCGGCGGCGAGTCTGGTTTCGCGCAACCACCTCCGGTCGGCTTTACTGTTTCCCGCGGTCGTAGCCATCGTCGTCGGAAGAGATTGATCTTATCGACGCTCGAGTTTGCCCCGCGAATTCGAGAGCACCTTACCTCGCAGCCTTCCTCCGTCTCTCCCGCCTTTCCTCCTCCCTCCGTTTCACCGTTCTTCTGTTGCTCCTCTCGCCATCTCTCTCTCTCTCTCTCTCTCTCTCTCTCTCTCTCTCTCTCTCTCTCTCTCCCCCCCTCTCTCTCTCTCTCTCGCTTCTACGTTGCTTCTACAGTTTTTTCTCTTTGCTCGGCGGTGGATCGCATATTCGATCGGAGCAGCAGATTTAGAGTTACGAGCTCGTCCGGGTCCTGTTTCGCGCGAGCAAATACGCTCGCCGGTTATTTCGAAGAGGGCCGCCTCCTTTGAAAGGCTCCGGTTATCGCACCTATCTACCCCGCGATTTTCACTGTTGCCGTTAATGCAATGTCCCGGGGTTTCACGTAGATCCCCGGGTGTCCCATCGTGGCGCGAAAAAGCGCGCAAAGTGGATTATGCCGGGAAATTGCATCTTTTTACACGACGCGATATTCGCGCGAATTTGCCGTTAAATGCAGCTCTAAGAGCCGTACTTACGTTCAATATGTTCTTCGTGGGCTTTCTCCCTCCCTCTTTCCCCCCCCCCCCTCTCTCTCTCTCTCTCTCTCTCTGTGTGTGTGTGTGTGTATGTGTGTGTGTGTGTGGGTGGGTGTGGGTATCCCTCTATCTCTATTTTTCCACTCGAAAATACGAATCCGTCCGAAAGCGGGGAAATTGAATAGAGTCATAATTCTTGCTAACTGTCGCACGCAGCCACAAAGAGGAAAAGGTTTCGAGGACTCGAGTCGTGAAAGCTCAGCGTGAAAGCTCAGTTGTCACCTGTCGCAAGTACAAAACGAACCTCCTCTTCTCGTTTACGCGACGCGCGATACACAGTCGCGGGGAACGTTATCTCGCTCGAGGCTATATTTTCCCATTTCCACGCAGAGGGGAAAAAGATCGGCGGAATCGGCCGTGACGATTCCGAACGAACCGAGCGCGTTTCAGTGGGAGGGGTCAGAATTCCGGAGCTCGCGGAACCAAATTTGCTTCTACCAGCCACGGGGACTCCCTTTCCTTCTCTACTCCCAAAATGCGTTTGCATCGTCCATCGTCACGTGGAATTCGACTAAACTTTTTTCTCCGTGCGCAATTGGCAGAACGACGCGCGCTTAACTCACGACGAATGAACACGCCGGATGAACGTTACTCCCGGGGACGCAAAAGCCGTACACCGTACACGGCCGGGGGGAGACTCGCCTCGCCGGGAGACAACGCGGGCTATCGTTATCCGCAGCCGTTGCGCGTATGCGGTATCTACCGGGTGGGCACGTAACTCCGGCGTCGCCGGTGACGCGCCGATATGCAATACGCGCAGCCAATGCTGGCTGTATTTCCGCTCGCTCGACGAGGCTCAGGCGAATGCGAATGCGACAGAGACATACATGGGTATGTCGTGATGGAAGCGGTTAGTAGGGGACAAGTAGTAGCGCCCTGGGTGCGCGGGACGGGTCGGGAGGGACGGCTGACAACGGGCTGTTATTTGCAACGAGTCGCGACAATTGCAACCCGAGCCGATCTCTCGCCCGCTCGCCCGCTCGCTTGCGCGCAGCGCACGTCGGCGTACACGTCCGGTTAGATAAACGCCATATTGCTGCTGCTGCTGCTGCTGCTGCTGCTGCTGTTGCGGCTGCACACCCTCCTTCCCCTCCTGCCCCTCCGCCCCGTACTCGCCCTCCCGCCCCCGATACCCCTGCGCGGCCCGATTGAAAATAGTGTTTTTGTGCAAGCCGAAACGGCAGATATGAAACCAGCATGGCGGATGCTTACAAATAGTTGCGGGGCGGCGACTACGTGTATAAATGCACGCCGAGTACCCCGGGTACTCCTCGCGTATCCTTTGTCCGCGAATCGCGCCGCGCACGGCCCGAAAGGATTTTCCGACGGGCGCGGAGAGAGGGTGCAGTGGATATGTGTGCGTACGTACACGTGTGTGTATATGTGTGAGAACGGTGGGGTCGGTGATATCCCGTTCGATCCTCCCTCCTTTCTTGTCCTCAATCTTCCCCCGTCCGCGAGAACGTCTTTGACGCCGGCCTTGTCGACTCCACCCGGAGGACCCGATTTTCGGATCGGTCCTCAAGGGGAGACTTAATTGCTAAGGAAAAGCGCGATCATCGTCGTCGTCGTCGTAGTCGTCGTCGTCGTCGGGGATAGCGCGACTCTCGTTGTATCGTGGTGACGATTTCTCTACCAACGGTCTTGGGGGATTCCTGCGATTCTCTCGTTGCGCCGAGCTCGACAGAGAGGGACACGCGTACAGTCGAGAGTTGTTGCGTGGCGAGAGAGCCAGAGGACAGACAGAGGAAAGGACAGAGAGAGAGAGAGAGAGAGAGAGATAGGCAGGCAGAAGGAAGTGGGCAAGGGGCTGGAGGGGCGTGAAAGGGGCCGGGCTGGAGGATGGGGGAGCTGGAGGGAGAAGAGCAATGCCATTTCCGAAAGCCACAGTGCAGCACGCTCTGAAAACGGGAAACACGCATCGATCGTCTCGACTCCCTGGCACAGGATCGGCTATGATATCGAGCTACGTTAGGCCACGTAGATAAGAGAGACGACGCTGGCAGCCGCACCATCATCAGGGCCGTCACCATCTCCACCACCGCCCCCGGTGGCCAGATTAGGTTGTCCGGGATCAATATCGGCGACGTCGTAGGTGTGGCGGCCGGTGGTGGGTACCGCGTTACCGCGCCGTCCTCCGCGCTGCCATTGGTCGGCGTACCGGTTCTCGGGCTCCTTTTTCCGCGGCAGGTCCCGCGCCGGGTGCTGCGCCGGGTCCCGCGCGTTCTCGCCCGCGCTCGGGTAACCCAGGCTCCCCTTCCCCGCGGCCGTGTTTGCAGTGCGTGGTGGGTGTTACCCGGCGTCGCGCCCGCGCCGCGAGTGGGGCGAAAGCCATCGGCGAGGCGGTCGCACCGGCGAGATCGTAAATCATGACCAGTCGGCCGCTCGGAGCGCATCGTGACAAACAGGGTGAAAACTGTTGGAAAACAGGGAGCACCGCGGTCGCCGCGACGTTGCCACCCCCGGAGCGGCGTTAATTCACCACGCTTGGGCCTCGCCGACCACGGCTGTTGAGCGCGCGTACCGTGTACCCGGTGGTACCGTACAGTCCGGCTGTTACGGCGGGTTAAGTCAGTGTTTCCGCGAGCCGACACACACGTACGCACACGTACACACGTACACACAGTGCCTCTCGACTTGACTCCGTCAGTCTGCTCCGGTCTGCTGGGTAACGATCCGTATGACCACGTAACGGGCCCGAACTCGAACGAGTCCCTCGTTGACGACGCCATCGCGACGGCCGCTCACCTGGTCCGCGTGTCGCTCGCGTGAGGATCAAACCGGCACAGTGTCGATCTCAAGGAACAGTTCGCTCTGTCCGATCGGCCGCGGCCATGTGCAGCAACGAGAGCCCGCCGCCGGCGAAGGAACCGCTCGCCGTCGGTCTGGGTAACCCCATGGCCGGCTTCTTGCCAGGCCTCGAGCACTATCGGCTGCAACTGTACCACTACGCGATGGCGGAGCGACTGCGACTGGCACAGCAGCTACATCCACAGCACCCTGGTGTTGGCCACCCGCCGTCGAGCGCGTCGACTTTAAGCATGAGCCCGGGTTTCCCGGCGCCGTTGCCGCTGTACCCGGCAGCAGCCGCCGCCGCCGGATATCCTGGCCGGTTGGCGCTGTCGATGGCGTTGCTGCATCCGCATCACCAGCGAATACCGGAGGAGCCCAAGCCCCAGCACAGCTACATTGGCTTGATCGCGATGGCGATATTGTCGTCGCCCGAGAAGAAACTTGTGCTATCCGACATCTACCAGCACATACTCGAGCACTACCCATACTTCCGCACTCGCGGACCCGGTTGGCGCAACTCCATCCGGCACAATCTTTCGTTGAACGACTGTTTCGTCAAGTCCGGTAGGAGCGCCAACGGTAAGGGTCACTATTGGGCGATCCACCCGGCGAATCTCGAGGACTTCCGGCGCGGTGACTTCCGCCGGCGCAAGGCACAGCGGAAAGTACGCAGGCACATGGGACTGGCGGTGGACGAGGAACCGGACAGTCCTAGCCCGCCACCATTGCCGGCCACCCCGCCACCTCCGGCGGCCCTCGGACCCCCGGTGGCCACGCAACCGATAACCGGCCTGTGGACGCCGCATCATCATCACCAGCAGCAGCAGCAACAGCAGCAGCAACAGCAGCAGCAGCAGCAACAGTCACATCAACAGCACTCCTTCCAGAGCCAGTCGCTGCGGCAGTCGTCTTTCCAGCCGTCGAGAAAACGGCAGTTCGACGTGGCATCGCTCCTGGCGCCGGACGATCAGCAACACCAGATTGTGGAGTCCGATCCGACCAAGTCGCGGCGCTTTAGCTGCAGCGAAGACGAGCTGCACGACCTACCGGAGCCTGATCAGGACGAAGAGGACGTCGACGTCGACGTGGTCGCTGACGCGAACGCCTTACCGTCGCCGGGCACGCCGCCGTCGGTCAGCCCGGACTCGAAGATTTTGTCGCCGACTGGCCATTGGAATCACCAGAGTGTACAGAGCGGCGGCGGCGGCGGCGGCGGCGGCGGCGGCGGCCAGCAGCAACAGCAGCAGCAACAGCAACTCTCGGCTGTACATCTTCACAATCATTTGCACGTGAGGAACTACTACATACCGGCCAATTCCGCCGGCGGCTCCAGCGTCTAATGACGAGTCCGAGCCAACGAGCGAGTCGGTTCGCACAGTTCGCAGGTAGCTGCTCGTGTTGTCTCGTGTGCTCACGTTCTTTTGCTCTGGACCCTGGTCGTCCTGTTCCCCGCGGAACGACGACGTTTCGCGTGTTGATCTTGCGCCTGTACGAAAATTGTCCTGGCTGTCATCAGACGCAGGCCAGAACCCGATTAGGATCCCCAAATTTGTCCCGAACTTAGTGGCTCGGTCGTGATACCAATTGGGGATCCTATTTTGGGGTTCTCCATTTGGAATCTCGGGATAAAGTATTATGGGAATCCGCATTTATCTTTCGCTCGATTACGTTTGTACATTTTTATTCCGTCAAGTAAGGGGTCCGTTTTTACAGCGACTATCGAATTATCGGCGGAATAACAAACGAGGAAATTTTAACGTAAAGTGGAGATCAGGAAGAATATTGGGTGAACCTTGAGTTAGGTCGCGTTATCGCTTATTCTATCTACGTAGACTCTACGTAGATATCTCTCGCAGTCGGGCTGGATCCTAATTAGACCCCAAGACATCTTCTATGGGCAGCTGAACACTGCGGCTTTCTCTCGGGGGAAAGATCGCCTTGCGAGAGAATGTTGTCTCTCCACGACGGAGAGATCGGTGTTCGCAAGCGCGGGGGAAAGCCTTTTCGGAGTTTTCGGAGGAAGCATGACGATCGAGTCGAAAGCAAGATCGAAAGTACACGAGAGCGTCCGTAAAGGATATTCTTTAAGCGTCTCCCCGGAGGACTCGCATCGTCCGCGGCGCTTAGCACGGCGTTTTCGCGCGCACGCAGGGAGAATAGACCGCGAGTGATCTCCGGAGAACGGACTCGGCGGAAAATTGGCGGCCGATTGGGTGCCTCGGGTCGAAGTCGGGCCACGAGAAAAACAGATCGATCCGTCGCCGATTGTGTCTCGAGCGTCACGGGAGCCAGGTGTCTGGTCTGCGCTCGACGAAATGGCGTGCGTCCTTGCGTTCGTCGCTGCGACGGAAACGCCGCGCGGCTGTGACGCGAGATTCTAGTCCGATCGCTCATCGTTTCGTTGAGACGTTTCGCGAAGGGAAAAGGGGAAGAGAAGAGGCATTTCCTGATGCCATTCGCAGCGTGTCGCAAACGTCGTTGGGAAGCATCGTCGTGTCGCAGCGACGGAATTATCGGAATCCTTCCATCGCGCCATCGGACGATCTCCGCGTGCTTCTGTCCGTCGATTTTCGTTCGGCCGCTCGACTCGAAGAAGCTCGACCCGCGCCGCGCCGGTCCCGAGCGCGCTTTTCATTTGTCTCGCACAAAAGTCACGTATGGCGCGTTATCTCGGTCTCGAGGAATTAGGCGACTTCGTCTAGCGTCGATCGGAATACGGATCAGTAAGCGGGCGGACAACGTGGAATTCTCGAAGGACGTCCTACGGATTTCCGAAAACGTCCGGATTTTTCTCGAACATTTCGATTTTGCTTTCAAGTTGCCGTCTTCCGCAATCTTTGTGCGATCCTCACGGGCCTGACAGCCCGCTTACACCTCTCGCTTACCCCGATGAATAAATGAATCTTGCACGCGGAGAACGGCTGGCTTCTCGCCCGACGCACGACCGAGACGCACTTCTCTCTCCGAGCGTCGGAGATCATTTGAGTCTGGTCTGTTGAAGTCGAGTCCGGCGATTTGGCGCGAGCTTCGGTTACGCGCTCCGGAACTTATACGTGTACTATATAGATAGATGTCTAAGAAAAAAAAAGTATGTATATAGACCGGAGTTCGACGGCAAAATCCCAACGCGAAACTTTCCCTCGATCGCGGCGCGATCGGCCGATGGCGAACTGCGCGACGATCGACGCGATCAATCTTGCACCGGCGGACAGCGGGAAAATTTCATCCCAATTAGAGAGAAAGTCCTGATTTAATCTCAATTAAGGAGAAACTTGTCAATATATATATACAAACTTTGGCCGTCCCAGGCCGCCAATCATAAGCAATTTTGCTGTCCAAACGGAGAAGCAATGTTTTATCAATTTACGATATTTATTGACATTATAATAATATTACTTTTATGCACAGTAGTGTCGTTATCAACGACACTCATTATAGAGTTTGGTTCCTGGACGATAATTATCATTTGCTTGCTTGTGATTGCGAAGATCCCTCGTGCCGTGTGCCGTGTCCAGTTGGGATTCTACCGGCGAATTTAGGCATCTTTGTAAATATGAGAATCACGCGAGCGAGCGAGCGAGCGAGCGAGAGAGAGAGAGAGAGAGAGAGAGAGAGAGAGAGAGAGAGAGAGAGAGAGAGAGAGACAGAGAACGTAGGTCCGTTCATCGCCGTGTCGACACGGTAGCGCGTAGAAATGCGTTGCACGCGGAGCATTACGTCAGACTGATTGCGATCTCGGCTGTTCAAAGTGTAATATAAAAGTCGTCTAAGGTACCTAAGGTAGCGAGATATCTCTCTCCCCCCGTTGTATAATCCGCACCCCCATGTCGCTAGAGACGGACACACGAAGATATATTCTGTACAAACCCGAGCATACCTCGCCCTTACTTCTCCCGGATCCACCCCCTTCGTTCCTCTTCGCCCCCGCCTCCCGCCCCCAGGCCATCGTCCCCCTTCCTCGTCTCCTTCTGTATGTATGTATATGTATCGATGTATACGTACCTGCGTACATGAATCAGATAACGTCCGGAAGCGATCGGGGAAATCGATCGCCTTGCCGGCGTCACACCGAGAAAAGACCGCAAGACCATTTTTTAACAGTTACCTCGTAAGCGTACGCCGGCGGCCTGTTATTGTCTCGACGCAACTGAACTTTAATAAAGTTTCTGTTCCCACGACACGCGATCTCTACGCTGATTGATCTCGCTTTCCTCTCCGCCTATCGTCCGCCTTTTTATCCCTGAGAAAAAAGCTGCCCGTCGAATATTCTGCTCTCATTCGAGCCTCTCATCGTCGTCGTCGTCGTCGTCGTCGATGATGACGATGATGAGGATGACGATTACCGCTTATTGCTCAGATAATGATGATGATGATGACGGTCGCGCTTCCTGCAAGCCTTGCGCGTCCGCCGTTCGTGCTATTCGCCGCTCGAAAAGCCCGAGTTGACGGAAACATTCCGCGCGTGTCTGCGCAGTCCGTTAGGCGACGCGCCGAGAGTGCCTGAGAAATCTATTTGTCGTGATAACAAACGGCCGGACTCGGCCATTAGTTAATGTACACACCAGCCGAACCAGACGAGAACGTTTGTTGCACGCGAGCTGTCGCAGAGGTCGCGAAAAGAATCGTCTCCCGCGACGCGCGCGTTGACGACAGCGCATTCTTCTTCGCGTCTTCTATTTATCCGTGATTGCCGACGTACGCGCCGTTAACGAGAGTCGGCAGAGGCGCCCCGATGCAGAGGCGAGATGGAAGGCCAATTCACCGGAGAGGTGACTGTAATTAACAAGCGGAGGTAAATAAAGAAACGTGAGAAACGCCCGCGCGCTGATTGCTGATCGAGGCAAGTTTGATTTGTATGGAATCCGTATTAATGCGTAACCCGCTAAATACATGATATCGCGTTTAGAAACACGCGCGCGGCGCACACAAGCGACTCGTATCGCATTTTCCATCTGACCTCGGAAACTCGCGGCTTTAAAAGCAGGATCCCGTAAGATTCGCATTAACGCGCGCTTGTATTTTATCGCGCGACGCGATCGAGTTTCTCATGCGCGCGGGCCATGATATAATAGTTTTTAACATTCACTGCGCTCATTAGAATTCCTCGATCACACGTACCGCGCCGACACATTCGTGTGCCGTGACTGTTTATCGTTAGACGAAACAGCAATCAGATTTATCTCTCCTTTCGCATCTAATTTCTCGTTTTACGTTGCAAATTCTATCCGATGAATAATATTTTGTTATTTTCCTTCGATCGGCCAATAATCAAGATGCGGCGGGGGGGGGGGGGGATTCGAGGGATTCCACGATCCCTGGCCCCAGATCTGGCGAATATATTATGACCGGGTTCAAGCGTTACGATTTTTATCTGACTCTTCGCTTACGAGCATTTCTCTTCTGCCTTTTTTGCGAATCGTATCTTTTTTCATCGAGGGATTTATTTCTCGCTCATAAGTGAGAATGAACAAGTTATGCCGGCTCGTGTACGACGATATTGTTGGACCGAGCAAGATCGAGCGAACGAAATTCGCGTCGTAACGGGCGAAGGGGGGACGGATCAACCGACGATTGACAAGCGGCGATACAGATGGGCGAGCGATGGGCTCTCGTCGATGTGGGTCGATTTTCTGTGCGATCATTTCCACTCGCCTCGTTGAGTGGCGCGCGCGGCGCGGCGCCCCGCAGGAGAGAGATACCGCGGCTATCGCCAACGGGACGGACGCCCGCTCGAGCGCGCGCGAGGATAAGGACTCGGCTCTGTGAAAAACATTAGCATGCAAGGATGACAGCCGGCGAGTAACGATGTTTCGAATATAGTCCCGCCGCGGCCGGCCGATGACGGCACGTTTAAGCAATACCGCGGCCAACAGTCGTCGCGACGCACGTGGTGTACGCGATAACCTAAACGGCTAACGCGAGAGACGTCGTTTCGTCGTGGTGACGTGCACGTAACTCGAGTAGGCGAGTAATAACCGAGGAATAACCTCGGTCTAAAAAAACACGATTTGAAACGCACATTCGAGATACATATTAACACGTCGATTTTACACTCCTCTCCTCCCTTTTTTTCAAACGTAATCTCCGGGAGATTACGAGTCGCGGCTTGTATTATGTATGAAACGTTATTCGCAGCGAAACATCGGGAGAGAGACACGCAATACGCCTCTCGAGAGAGTCCCGGAGACACGCGGAGCGCAAACGACGGAATTATAAATCCGACCGGTGACGAAAACAGGGATTAGCATCTCGGACAATGCATCTCGGGCCTTAGGGTTAAGAGCGCGCCGGGGTTAATGCGCTTACTTCGACGTTCAGAGAGAGAGAGAGAGAGAGAGAGAGAGAGAGAGAGGGAAAGACTCGCGCCGGATTCCTTCGTTTTAAACGTTCCGCTTTTCTTCATTGTCCGTTGGCTCGTGACAAGCACTTTCCTTTTCGCCTTCGGCAGATCGTCGTGCCTCGTTCGCTTGCTCGAAATTTTAGCGACATCGACGAGGATGAAGACTCATCCCCGACGATGAAGACCGTCGCGCTGGCAGCAAGCTGTGAGTGGATAATACCGGCTCGGATTGTTTGCCGCAAATAATTCCGCTGGCAGATCCGTTTTATAGTCCGCGCGCGTGGACTGTCGCCTGTCTTTGTAAGACAAAGAATCCGCGGATAATCTCCTTGCTTCCCTCGAAACCGCCGTCGGAGCAACGCTTTTCGTTCGCGTACGTTAATGCATTGACTGCCGCGATCGGTACCCGCTGATTATCCCAATTATCTCAAGTCCACTTTTGAGTCAGCAAGCATGCGCTAGATAAATTTGCGATTTGCGATCTTTTCGTCAGCTCGTTCCTTGGATTCTCTATCGGCTGTTTAATCTACTGTTTCACACAGCTGCGGTTGCGTTCCGCGCGTGAATCGTGATAAGATTCACTGTATTATAACGCTAATGACTGCTATAATAATTAACATGTGAAATAAATCGCGATCGTATATCGTCGCGTCGATGATTAGCGATCGCTGTGTCTGTGCTCATCTCTGCTCGCGAACGCGCGAAACACCGGGAAATGAAAAGCCAAGCGCAACGGCTTGCGTTTATAACGACGCGCGCTTAACGCGCGAAATTTTCATTAATGACACGTCGAGAATTAATTACGTATCCGATATCGTGAGCCGGCGGTGAAACGTCGGCCACAGGATTTAGCTGCGCAATCCTGTCGGCTTGTATTTATCGACGAGCGTTTCGTGGCGTCCCATTGTCTCTCGATTCATCAAATGAAGCCTCACAGGCGATCGCTAAGCGAGCAACTACAAATCCTCGGCGGAGAGCGTGTTCGACGACGACGACGACGACGACGACGACGACGACGACGACGACGACGGGAAACCCGACGATGGGGAATGAAAGCAATTTGTTAAATATTGCTTGCGACAAAGTAAACGGCGCAAACACCGAAACCATAGCAGTGCTTGATTTAAGGAGGCTACCTGCCGACGAGCTCCTCATTGCGCCAGCATTATCATCGTTTACTCACGCGCTTATAAATCTCCGAATATTGAGGAAAGAAAGGGGAGAGGAGGGGGCAGAAAATAATCATCGGGCAATTGTCGAACTTTAGGGCTCGTTTGCTGAAGTATTCACGAGATTGCTTGGTATTCCGAACTTCTCGTTGAGCCACATAATCAAGGCTATGTCACACGACTGGGATCGCCGCACCGCAACAATAATTTATACACTGCGACAATTAACATTATCTGTTTATTTCCTCAAGTGACTCGCGGATTTTTCGAGTGGAATTTCACTCAGAGAGAAATTTCCACTTTCCCGCACATTCTTCGATCGTTTCGAACGACTCGAACATATCCCAGCCGAATAAGATAATATCGTTCGTTTGTAGTTTATTGCGAACGCCGATTCGGAGGAATCCTCCGTATGAATTTTTATCAACGAACCACATGACAAACATGAGACGAGAGTTTCCGTCATATCTGCGCGCGCGCGCATGTGGTGGAAAAACTCAGTTTATGTTTTCGCGCTCAAATCTCTGCATTCACGGATACGTGTGTTTTCGAGACCCCGAGCAGCTCAGCGCGGCTCGGCTTTCCCACGAAGTGCCGGCGAGGGTGTTGGAAAAACAGTCGACGGCGTTTACGGCCGCTCGCGTCGCGTCTCGTCTTGTGCAGTCTATGCAAACTCCGTCCCGGTTTGTTATTCCAAACTAGCCGGCCGGACTTTTCGAATATTTAACAAATAACGACGAAGCCTCCCGATATACATACACACACTTACACGCAAGTGTGTTCGCGTATGCGTGGAACCTGTGTACGCGGAGGGCGGAAAGCGGGCGGGAGGGTCGGCGGAGCCCGGCGCGGCGGTATTGAAAACAGGAAGCGATCTGCCAGCTTCGTTCTATTTTCACGTCGCTCATCGCGGGGATCGAGTATTCTCGATCCCGCGAGATCTTCCGGGCGATACGTCGGCGGCGAGAGCTCGCCGGCAACATCCTCCGCAACATCATCGGTGGTGCAGCAGCAGCAGCAGCAGCAGCAGCAGCAGCAGCAACGCAGCAGCGCACAGGGCCCTCCGCGACATTATAGCGAACCCACAGCGACGGGCATTG